ATATATATACCAAATTTTATGCCAAATCAATACCACACGGGGGTTATTTTTTTCTTCTTCACTGTTGACTCTGTTTATATATACAATAAAACCATTTGATTTGATTTTATAATTCTCTATATATATATCAAATCAAATCGTGAACGGATAGACTGTGCCTGATCTTAGAAGAAACACATTTCTTTATTTCTGGTTTCTATTCTTTTCCCTGTTCCACTTTTATCTGTTGTGGCGATGAGACTATGGACGTAAATGGCGGAAGTATCAGTTCGATCAGTTGCACAACAAACGTAATCGTATCGACAGTAAAAGATGCAAGAACGGTAGAAATGGTAGTAATACGAGAAAACATTCCAGCAATCAAACAGGTCAGTTATCTAATGACTGGGGATGAGTATCTGACGAACCTTCCACATCACAGGCGACTTCCAAGGATCGAAAAGAAGTAATGGACCATTACGATAATGCTTATGCAACCCCTTGTTGCAGTTCTTCTAAAGGAACGAAGACGAAACAAGGGAAGAATGTAAAGAAGAAAGATACGCATGGGATGAATAGAGAGGAAGAAAAGACTATTGTAAAAAGAGTTGGAAAGAACATTCCCGCAATCAAACAGATCAGCTGCTAGATATTGGCTTTCTCCGCTGCTGTTCGTTTTATGCACGGATCTGTTGAGCTGTAGGCTCAATGTCAGATAACGTAGGCTCCATAACAGATAAAGAATGCATGTAGCGAACCATTACTTGTGGATGATCTCAAGCTCCTTGCTACTGATAAAGATTACGAAAGTTATGACTGGAATCCAGAAGTTATTTGAAGTAGTAAGGTAAGAGGGGAATTCAACAAAGTTAGCCATTAATAATGAGGCATGCGCTGATAAGGCTAACTCTAGAAAGGAACTAAGGAGTATAAATATCTTAAAGTAATGGAAGACAGAACTAGGGCAGTAAATGAGTACGCCATAAGATTAATAAATTATTATACTCGGGTGCTCAAACTACTGAAACCAGAGGACTTCCAAGCAATTGACCATGATATTAGACAGTTACTAATTAAGTACGGAATTCACGTCCAAACTGCATGTTCGAAAAGAATGTACCTGCCAAGAGGCGAGCTAGAACTTGTTCCTTGCGTCGAACAAGTACAAGTGATCTTGTGCTTCTGAAACTTCATAATGTACTTGTAGAAAGTGCGCCCATATCTACCAAGAGGGCGGCAATTTTGAAGCAGGAAAAGACTCACAACACGTACTTAGTAGTTATTCAGCCCTACCTTCAGACTAAATACAACCTCGTAGAAAATCCAGTCGTCGAAAACGTACTAGCAGCTCACAAAGCTATTGTATAGCGAAATAGAAAAGAAAACTCGTCATGCAAAGCTATGCATGATGCACAGTAATGAGCTAGCCTCAATATTAGATTCATCCTTGTGGCTACATTTCGAAAGTATTGCTCAACAGGATGAAAAGCGATACTATGACGTCCAACATAGAAGTATGTTTGGAGCCATCAAAAGTATGTGCTCACATTATAGGGAACGTGTGAAGACAGTTGACTATCTAGCAACGCAGTGCGAGAAAATGTTATATCATTACAATACTAGAAGACACAATGAAGCCCTGCGATCTATCCATTTAAGACTACAATAAGTACAGTCTGAAATTGTTCCGTTCAGAAAATCATGGCTAACGAGAAAGTAGAGATGTGAAGTAATCCTGATAGAAGTTGCCATCATTGGTGAGGACAGATTAATTGCAATCGAGACCCAAGAGAAGCGAAAGTACGATTTACTGGCTAATAAACTCGGGGCAGAGATAAATTGTGGGACGAAAATAATTTCGTATGTGATGACTTGGGATGGGATAGTGACGAACTTCCACAATTGTTACGCGAAGGTAATCAGTATATCTGATCAAGTTGAGGCATATATCCAGTCGATAGTGCTCCAGAAAACGCTCGAAAGCATCTCATTCGATCAGCGCAGTGGATTCGACGAGGACGAAGCAGCGGAGATCAGCTCAGCAGAATTGAGTGCGGGGCGAATGCAGCGAGAATGCCAGAATACGATTCAGCGCCAGAATTAATAATAAAGAATAAAAGAATAAGCTCCGTGTGATATATATTTGATTAAAAACACTGCAGCAAAAGGACTAAGATATGATGTGTTGTAAGTGGAATGGATTACTAAACTCAAACAAATCATGCTAAAATCGTTCAGAAAGGATGTAGTCAATTTTGTCAGAATTTAACTTGATTAAATATCATATATCGGTGTCTTTAATGAAATATTCCAGGATACTCTATTTGTTTCCTATATTTCTAGTTGTTTTGATTAACTTCTATCCGAATGTAATTGACTAATTTAAAGTTATACAAGAGCCATTGGATAAGTAGCAACACTTTTCCGGCTAGTTCAAATTTTCTTTGTATATTTGGCTATCTTCTCAGGAAGTTTTAAAACTTTTTAGAAAGATTCCTAGTCCATTTCAGTTTACTACAGTTTTCCTAAAGTATAAAAATAAAAATAAAAATAAAATAAAAAAAAATCTTGAATTTATAAGCACGCTTACATTTGAAGATGTCATTCATGCTTTCAGATGGAATTAAGATCTGCAGTAGACTGCCAGAGTGGACTCCGATCTAGATGTGAAACCAGTGGCTGCACATTTATCTCAACACGAAGTTTCTCAAAATCGCGAGAGAAGCTATAAATTATCTGTTTCATTATAGTACTTTATTCATGAGAAAAAATGTCAGCAAATATATTTTATCCCTGATTAATAATTATGATAAAATATTAGCATTTGCAACAGCGTTTCCGGTACTTATAAACATAGTTGGTGAAAATTAAAAACCAGTTGAAGTAAAGTTGACTGAGAAAATAATAAACCATAAGATAAGAATCAAGCACATCTGTGAAATTACCTCAAAATGAATAATGCACAGCACACTGCTAAGCACCACTCTGCGATAGCAGAAACACAATGCAGATTATAGCCCTGGAATTTTGAACAGACATTAGATTTACAAATGTATTTAAAACTTAAGTTCTTATAATTTTCACATGTTTCAAAATCACACTCACCATGCAATCAAATTACTTGAATGCTGAACATAGTTCCTTACTGCTAATTAAAATAAGGTTGTAGTCACCAAAATATTTCGATGTAGTAGTACACTTAATCTTTTTTTAAAATATGACAAATAAATTAAAATATGAGAAGCATTAGAAAGACACTAATGACAAGAAATAATACCGCTTGATCTGCTTTTCGTGACCACGGTCTTGGAGTAGGTAAATTAGGATGATACTTATGAAATTCATTTGATGCAGCGATACCGAAATAAACAGCTGAAACATGGAAAAAAAATTTCAAGAAATATTTTAATATAGTTTATTATCTTTTCCTAGTACTCCAAATAAAAATCCTTCATCAATATCTTCCGACAATAAAAAATTTTTGCTTTCACTTCATCTGGTACGCGTTATCATTTTGAAAGAGTTTCAAATTCTCGGAACAGAAAGCTTTTTAAGGACCTGTAGCAAAGCACAGAATAGCAGATATTGCTAACACACTGCGTATACAACCAATCCTCAGGTTATTGTACAACGGATACATATGTAAGGTGATGTAAGATTGTAAAATCATATACAAACATCCGAGTCCAAAACAGGTAAATGCTCCAACATAATGTACTGTAATAACAGCTGACTCCTGCAAAACATTCCTACTAAAACATCGCTCGCATATTCTGGCAATTTCTCTGCCTTCAGCTTTTGTTGACTTTCTTGAAACCTAAATTCAGTACGTAGTTTGATTTCGATTTTGACTTTCCATCAAAAGTCAAAAGCATTTTTGAATAATTCTAAGAATAAAACTTTTGTACGGTTTTTTTTCGATCTTCGAACCTTTACAATCACAAATTTTATTCAATTAATAGGGCTGTCAGTGTTTCCCAACAAGATGGAAATGAGAAATATAAATTATATTCTCTCATTTTCAAACATAAAAAAAATTACAAAAACGAACTTTTGAAAACATTGCATGGTATGATATGCAAAAAGTTCAGTACAATCTCTTACTTCTGTAAGTACGAAAAAAATGAAATATTTCAAGCTAGTAGTGGACAGAAATGTGAAAATATGCAATAAATGCATAATTCTACAAATAAATAAAAACATACTTGAAAGTTAGCAACGATGAACATGCCAAATGAACTCAGTATTCCAAAAACACAACTGGAAGTATTCAAAAGCTTCAAGCAATTATCTGAGTCTCGATTGAGTTCAACAACCAATGAATACCTAGAACACATACTAATGCAAATGGCAGACCATCAATGTAGGCAGAAGAAAATCTTCAATAATCCAGTAACTAGATTTTTTACCAAATTTGAACAATTTTTCATTAGAAGAAGATCGTGTTTATTTGAATAATGCACACACTGTCTTATTTTTCGAACTTTGGCTTTACCGTTCTGGATTTTAAGCGAAGCTTTTTATAGTAGACCTGCGACTATAACTAAAATAAATTTTACAAAACTATTCACCTTAGATGAATAACAAGCATTATAATAAATGAGCATAGGTTCAGCATCATACTAAAGAAACATGATTCAGGACGATTATCTCCAGAAGACGAAATATAAGGAAAAATAGGATCAATATCGCCTTGCCATACAGCTAAAGTGTATGATATACCTGCAATTATTTCTTTCCCGAAAGTGTATTTTACCGAAAACCAAAGAGAAATAGAGAAATCTTTAAACACTTACTCAGCATTAGCGTAAAGATTATAACAAAGACGACAGGAAGATGCCCAGCGGCAAGAAGACCAAGTTGAAGCATATGTCAAGCCAATATCTTCCGATTTCTCGTACACAAACGATAACAGCTATGACAAAATCTTTTTAGTAAGCTTAAATTTAAATTATATCCTGCAGAAGAAATCGAAACAATTTATCTTGCTGTAATTTGAGTGCTTTGGTTTACTAACTTCTGTCTCTGGCCTACATAATTCGTAAATAACTACAAACCAATGTCAATCGCTTAATACACTTAGAAAACCAGCATATTATTCATTGATCTGACAATGATGAACCCGAAAATTCGCTCGCTATCTAGGCATAAAATTCGACCAACATGTACGCATGTCACAAGAAAGTGCATGAGTAAATTATTGGGCAAATGTTTGCAAGTTATAGATAGATTATTAGTTTCTAGTAGGTATATAAATACACAATGTCTGACACAGTGGCTGCTTGTAAATTACTTCATGCTAATGTACAATAATTTTGATATTATACGAAAGACTAAACCAATCAGTTTTAATTTCGAATGGAATAATCGCTAACATAAATGTTCTAAATCAGACAGGAATAACAGACTTGATCTTTTAATTGTTTGAAATCCCCTGCTTTATGCAGTAATCATAATCTTCTGTAAATGTGGAGGGTAACGTGGTCGCAAGTTAATAATGACTCAGTTTTTTATCATTCACAAGACGAAGATGTTTTGTGTTCTTGCTACTCTTTTTAGGATGAGCGATTCAGCCACATCCTCTAAATCATATCAAGAATTCGTCAAATTTGGCAAGTTCTTCACAACCCGTTTGGTAATTTAGTATTATTATTGTACTCAATTTTTTTAACACTACTCATGTATTAATATTTAACGTTTTTGTGCGATTTCTTAGAAATTTGTCTTAGGTTCAAGCAGTTGTGCAGTCACGTCTTGGGCAACTTATAGTACAAACATGCAGTGTGTCACCTGATCCTTCAGATTGGTTCAGTGTGCGAATTGATGAGATTGGGGAAGTAGCTGCTCAATTACGTACGAGCGTCACAAAGTAAGACTTTATTGTCAAGTTTTCCTGTTTTGTAGTTTTGTGAAAATAGTTTTTATTAGGTTTACTATATTTTTCAGATATCCTCCGAACGCAAACTGCTTTACTTTGGATTTTTTGCTTCATACTGCTGATGGTGATATTCTGCCTTTGGAATCTTGGTATTGACTCAGATTCTACATTTAGATAAACTGACGTCATTTAAAATAAGCTCATTTTTCCCAGTTGCCAAATACAGTCTGTTAAATTCTGTACATTCAAGAAAATGATGATGTTTCATGAAGAATTAGTGAGTGTATTCAAGATGATATAGCAAATATTCATAATTATGTCTTCTGTTTCATAGGTGTATTCGATATGAATCAGAATTAATTGATGGAAGTGTCAGTGTGAGGACTGAGTTTTATCATCAGTTAGGAACACTTTTAAAGTCAGCTATTGTTGCATCACGAATGACTCCAGCATACCGTTACTATGTGCGCAAACAGAGTCCAGATACGTTTATCATCATGTATAGAGTGAGAAATATTATCATTTGTATTTTCTGTATAAAGTATTGAGAAATTTGTTTGGCCTTTTAATTTTTTGCGAATATCAACCCTTTTTTCTAAGGTATACGAAAAGGAACCAGAAATGGATTTGGGTGAAGAGCAGAAGAAAGTTCGCATTGGACTAGTAGCATCTCCGTTTGGTGCATTCTCCCTTTATTTGTTATATCGCACTAAAATGGAAATTGACCGGTGTGTTCTTTACATCACAAATATTTTTGGTGATAATCTATGCGTTATGTTAAACTTCACGGCACTTTTACTTATCTGACTTCAGGATGGCAACAAAAAGGACAAATATTAGTTCTGCTAATGTGTTAAAGCATGCTGGGACTCAGCAAAAGCAATCTAGTGTAGATATTGATGCTCCACTGTCGATTCCATTTGGTCCTATTTTTGTTCACGATGGTGAAGTGAAACCGGTTAGTTTGCCAAGTTTCAATGGAAAACGAAGTTTGGAAAAGACCTTGTCAAGTTTTCGGTCTTAGAAGAAAAGTCTCAGGTCTCTAAGAATTGCCATCCTCTTTTTAAAAAACTATCATCCTTATGTTTAGTTCTGCATGTTTTTGATTTGTTAAGAAATGGTCATTTTTAGGAAAAAATTGATGATTTATGGTTTGGAACGCCTTCACGTCGCGTTCATTTTCATTTAGGACATTCGCGTTCTTCTTCAGACGATGCGTGTTGCCGTAGCCATACCTGCAGTGGTAAAAATACATTATTAAACAATATTTATGCAGTGTTGTGAGATTAAAAAAAATGAATCTGAAATTTAATCGATGACTTTGGATTTAGATTTGGATGAAAACAGCAGTCAACCTTATAGTTCAAGTTTGCCTCATCGTTTGATAACTACGGTATGTTCTTTTCGGAGAAAATACTGTAAAATGATATATACTCATATGTCTCTGCAATAGTAATGTGGTATCTGAAAATTTTGAAATGCTATTCTTATAAACGGTAATTTACATGCACATTATCATCACACATTAATTTCATTACCTTATAATGTTCAGAAAAGTGGAAACCATAATTCTAAGAGTTTTTTGTAATTTTTGATGGTTCTTTTTATGTTGTTTTTCAGAAGAACCGATCTAGGACTCATTCATTCCCTTTTTCAACTTTATTGACTACAGCTGCGACTGATTCGTTTCCGAGTAAAATTTTACTTAGATCCTTGGAAACAAATAAAATCATATGAATGCAAATTTCGATGAGTACTTTTCAGTTTTTTGTCTGTTATTATCAGAAGGAAATAGTAGATTGATCATCAGAGCTACTTTTATAAAATGAATCATTTGTATTAAAATATTTTCGAAATGATACTTTTATTTTTTGAGGTAAAGTGTATCAGTAACACCATTACTTATAATTTATTCGCTATCCTAGTTGGACTCTTCCCCTCACTTTATCATATTCACCTGATTTAGTGGCTTCTGGGTCAACATCTGCAACATCCATACCAGCTCATATACACCAGTTGGCTATAGCTCCTTCTACAGAAGATTCAATAAGTGCTAAAGAAAGTGGTAAATCAGAAGATTCATTTGGTGCAGAAGTGCAAAGTGATGATGATGATTTGTCAAGTAGTGATGATAGCTATGTTAAGGTACGTCTTGTAGTATTTAAGATGGCTTAATTTCATTTTATTGACTTGTCTTCCAATCACATTTACAAATTTGCGGGCAATAGAAAGAGAAAAACGGTGATTAAGATTTTTATCATCTTGAGTTTTCTGTGGTGGATTTTCATTCAATGTTTATTTTCGCTTCTGAGAAAACTGTTGTTTTCGTTGTTTAATTTATCTCTGAGCATATGTAAAACATTAGGTAGCATTTGGAAGTAGTGAAAGTTTGGCAGATGGACTGGGCGAGTTTATGAAACAATGTAGATCAGCTCCTACTCATCTTTCGTTTCAAGTCGATTGCACAGCTGTTATTCCAGAATTGGTAAATCTTTTTTCAAAAATTATGAAAAACTGGGATTTCTCTAAGCAAGAAAGATTCAAAAGTTTTCTGTCAAATCCTGGAAGTAATGATCTCAATATTCTTACGCAGTACATGAGAAATTAGATTTAAATGGATTTCTCTTTTTTTAGTGAATGCACTTTGCTGTTAGTTATTCTATTTTATTGTTGTTCGATATTTAATGCAAGAAATTATCTGTCATGGCGTGTTTTCCTCTTTACTTTCAGCTGGAACAGTTTGAAAACAATCAAATAATTTTCGACAGTTTCTTAGAGGAAATAAACAGAAAGACACAAATTGAAGATGACGTATCTTAGTAGTAGATAATCATTATTTTTTAAGTTGTACTTGAATAACAGTTTTCATATTGTTTGAAAATACTTGGGTTTTTTTACTGATCACTGATACAATTTACTTCCTTTATTTTATCCTTTTCCGATGAATAATAAAACTCTTATTTTGGAATAGAAAATTTAGAATTAAGAGAAGCCAGTTAGTTGTGAACAGTTATATATTTTTCAATTCGCATTGCATTTTACCGTATTTGGCGACAATTCAAGATGCTCGATTATTTTCTCTCATTAAGCAAATTCGCGAGTGTGGAAGAATAAAACGACGATATTCAAGTACAGCAAAAATAGCGGTTGTGCGCGATATGCTATTCTACGTATGCCAGAGCTTCGCTGATTTCAATATTAATTATATCAGTAGTGATAGTAGATAAATTAGTGAAATATAAAATTACCGTGTGCTTTATTGTGTGAAATTTCATTGCAGTAATAGTAATAATGGTTAAGAGCTGTTTTATATGGCCTTATTTGTCAAATTCTAGGTTTCCTGGTTACATTCAAGACTGGTTGCATCATTGTAAGAATATCAATCGATTTTTCATATTTCCTTTTAAAATAAGGGAATTTAAAGTTTATACATAACATTTGGTAGAGAACTTTCAGTTGTCAGAAGAGAATCGTCAGACTTTTTCAACTTTTATTATTTTCGGTATTGATTGGCTTATCTCCAGTAGTATGGAACTATTGTATTTAAAGTTGTCGCCCGTCATTGCATGAAGATATTAACAAACCATAAAACTAGTAAAGTCTCTGATACCATAATCATCCAAAAATGTGGTAAGGATGATTTATGGGGTTAATGTGAGTCGTGATGAATGGCTGTCCCCTAGTTACATGTGAGAGGAGGGTGCAAAGTTTTTTATCAATTTATAATTATGGAAAGCAAAGCGGAACCAGTTCGTAACTCAGTGAGAGTTGTGCCTTGTTTTATCGACTCATAGCAATGACATGAAATGTGTCTTCCTATTGGATTGATTTTAAAGGATCTATGAGATACTATTGTTCCGTTAATGGTAGTTCAACAATAAAGTGAAAGTCGGTGTCTCATTTATGCAATGTTGGACGGAACTGGAGTAATGTATTACCAAGAACAAAACGTGTTTCTTTCTTCATTGACGATACGGCTACTATTTTTTGTCTATTTACATGGGAGATGAAGGGAATATTTTGTTTTCAGTTGTTATTCAAAGTACAGTTCATGTATGGAATTTTAGATCTCTTGACTTCTTACATTATCTGCAACGAGAACTCATGAATTATATCTTGTCCATAACACCATCGTTCGATTCACTGCTATAATGCATTATCTGGATTTCCAAGTATCTGAACTATTTTATTATAGTATTTGAAATTCAAGTTCTAAGTTATGGATAATGTGTAGCAAACAAAAAATAGTACCTCAGTTTTTAGTAATGAGTTGGGTAATTTTTTCTCCAAGCTTATTTTTTTTCTAGAAACTTTTGTACCTAAGCTTCGGCGCTGCATTACAGTTTGTATGGTAGATATTGTTCGTCTACTACATTTTATGGATGTTTGGAATGGGTGAAAAATAGTGGTGCTAAACTGCATTATCTGTGATAAATCTTGTGCGGAGATCTGAAATGGGGAATGACAGATTGGATCATCTCGTAGAAGATTGTCCCGTAAATTGGATCGTCTCGTAGAAGAATATCAACAATCTGCCTTATATTTTCTTTTGTGACATATGTATGATAACAGGAAGAGCATTTACATTAAACGGAATTAGAGTTTGGTGAAGATTAGGGAGCATGTAAAGTAAATTCATAGCAATATGTATTCGTAGTCAGCAGCAGCATTAGAAACCAGGACATTGATTCTACCAATTTTTCTAGTATTTGAAGGAGTTAACGTGCTTTTGTCTAAACTTGTTAGCTATTGATAATGAAAATATTTTAATATTTTTAAAATATACATTTTATATTTTTATCATCAATATTATTAACACTCTGCAATTGATGAGCAAGATGGTTGTAAATAGATGAAGATGATGAGAAACAGAATTTAGGAAGAACCCTATCGACGATTATTTGATTAAATTACTGCCTCTAACACGCTTTCGTGCACCTTATTCTATCTCCTCATTTTGGGGCATTATATCTCCCTACTGTTTGCGTGTGGATAATGTACGAAAAATGTATTAGAACTTACCATCAATACCATCAATATTATAGACATAATCTCGTCTAGCTTTTCGTCATCCTTCATTTTCTTAGTATAGTCTGTTTTCCTAGCAAATCTAAAATTTTCTATCATCGTAGAAGTTAATTATGTTATTCATGGGTGCAGGATACCTTTTTAAGTTGTATGCACTTTTTTGGATAACCACTCATGCCAAATTCTTGACTATCATATTCATTTCTTCTTTTTTCTAAATTTTGAGTCCTCTTCATTTGTTGAATTTGTGTGAAAATGTATTTTGATCTATTAATTGTTGTCAAAAAATTTCCTTTTCTTGTGCTCTGGTTTATATACGACTACGATTAACGACAATATCTTTACTAAACTCCGCGGACATGTTTTGGCGAAAATCAAGTCCTTTAAATATCGTGATTTTGTTGGATTAAAACGAGAATTCGCTAAAATACGCATTACATCAAGTGGCTGCAGTCTTAACTCTTTACATTCAAAATGAAGCATGATTGTTCAGATCTTATTGATTCAAAGGAATATATTTCACAAAAATATGTGCCAATGGGATCATATCCATCAAAAAGTATATATATATATATAAATTTATATGTTTATATATATATATATATATATATAT